GGCTAAATAAAATTTAAATATGTTGCTGATTGTTTGTAGTAGAGGAATGGTATGATGGTCCTGTCTGATGTGAGCAAATTTGTTAGTGCAGTCTGTTTAAGAGGTGTGTGCATTTATGGTACGTATATGTTTGTACCTGATATGAAGCTCCATCACAGTCGGACATTCAGACAGGAGAGCAGTCAGAATCACCAAGCCCTCCACTGAAGAGCAGCTGTCGTTCACACTGAGAAGCAACATCTGAACGTCAACAATCTGCTGCTGTTCAGTTCTTATGAATGTCAAACACTGTTTTTGTTAGTATAGCATAACTGGCATATTAGTATTTAGTAGTATATTAGTAAAAATGTACCATATGCAGAATACATATAGCTTTATGTCACTCTTATCTTGTGTGCTTTGTGATGGGTAGTTTGGTATAAATCCAGTCTTACATGATCTTTTTGGTACACTGAATTTTGGCAGGACTGAGTCAATGTCTCCGCAGAGTTTCACATCCATTTGGGTCCCAGACAGATATGGGGGTGGACACACACACACACATATTAGCACACAGAACTCTATGAAAACATTTGCTTTGAATGAATGCACTCGCAGTAGTACTATTACAAATTATCCAATCTGAATCACAGCCAGTATTCACTCTCACTAGCAGTGATAAATGATAGTGCTGAATATCTAATTATAACATGCATAAATGTCAGTTGTGGTCAACCCTGCTCCAGTGACAAAACAGGAAGTAGTAGGAAGTCACATAAAACATATCATCTGCCAGTTACTTACACTGTGAATGCTTGAACTTTGACCACACAGACAAATAAAACAAGAGGTCAATAAATAGCGGTTATTATACTCAGCACTGCATTATTCTCTGTCAGTGCAATGTATCCAGTGGTGGAACAAGTATTTAGATCCTTTACTCAAGTAAAAGTATGTATGTATGTAAGTCTTAACAGCAAGTTTTAAGTAAAGTATTAAAAGCGAGAGTACTCATTGTGTAGAAAAATGGTCCCTGACAGTTTTTCAATATTATATATGATGTTTTGGCTTAACATTACTGCAGAGCCAGTCCACCCTAAACGCACACTACACAAGCTGCGTAGGGCCCTGCAAATTACGCAAGGGCCCAGCCTCCCTCTTGTGTCAGTGTTTACAACTTCAGTGAGTAGTGGTCAGTGGATAAACGGAACTATCTCTCAGAAAAAGAGGAAAAAAACACCATGAGAGTGAATGAGATTCACGGGTGAACACGTGTTTGTATGCGCGTGCACAAAACGAAACTCGCACTATCTAGCAGCAGTAAAGTCTGTGGGCACCGGTTCAGACAGTATATGGGCGTGATGGCAAGGTTTAGTTACAGCTCTGTAATGTAAGATGTAAAGCAATGGACTGACATTGACTATTGATTAAATATTGAATTTAAAATGTTGATTAGCTGGGCATCCTGTAATATGGATCCACATATCTCAGTAAACAATAACCATCAAGTATTCAGTCAAGCCATATATAGAATGGACCTGGTATTTTGTGCAGCCAGAGCCTGTAGGCTTATGTTCACATT